AATTTCCATCCTGATAAATATTATGAGAGAAAAATTTACTTTTGATGTATGTATCTCCAGCTTTAACTTCATATACCTATTCTTATCGTTAACAATTAACTTAATGGGAACTAGAATAATGATGTATAGTTCTTACAAAATTTATCATCAAACAAAGTGTATCTATTAAATTATACAATAACACAACTTACTATCTATTAAATTTTTTAGTAAAGAAAATTTTCCTTTTAAATCATTAAAAAACTGCAAAAAAAAAATTTAGTAAATAATATTAAAACACTATTTCTGATTTTTACTATTTTAGTCATATTTCTGTTTCACTTTCCTTTTCTAATTTATAAAGTCTGAATTTATCAATAGAGCTGTAATTTTTTTTATATAATTATTTTTCCTAATTCATTCAATTTTTTATTTTAAAGACTTTTCCCCTAGTTTGAATTATTTTATTCAGAATTAATTTTAAAATAACTATTTAATTTAAACTGGTGTTTCTTCTTAATCCATTTTTGAAAAAGAATTATATAATTGATGATTTCTAATTATTTATTTGGGTTATTAGAAGATTTATATAATAAGTATTTTAAATAAATGGATCTTGATGTACATTTTTTGTTATTCTTTATTTTCTTAAGATAATTATGTAAATTGCCTTAATTATCCCTTAATATCATTTCCCATAGTCTTTTAATTTGAATGAAACAGTATCACTAAAGAACAAATTAAAGAAATAGAATTGAAAATTTACATAAATTAAGAAAATATTTAGATTAAAAATTTATTTATCTTCTTTATGGACATTCAAAATATAATTTATTTGATTTAAATAGAAATTTGAGTTAATGATTTATTTATAAAAAGAGAATGTATATTTATTGTAAATTAATAAATAAGTAATGATTTTGATTTTTTTTATTGCATAATTAAAAAATATTCATAAAATTTTATTTCTAATATCTTCAAGTTTTTTAATAATTTCAGCCGGAGTTCTTTCAAATTCTTCTGCAACAGTTTTCTATTTGTTATATAACATATTTCCAAATTATTCACAGAGATCTCCATCAATGATAGACTAAAAATAATAAATTAAAATGATTACTTTGCAAGGACCATATGCTGATCTAAATTACATATGATCCCTTCCCGAAAGAGATTAATGTTCAACTCTTAAATACATTTCAAGATGGAGGAAGAAATCTATATCTTCTTTATTGTCAAAGGTGTAAAGTGCAGCAATAGATCCCATAGACGTTCCATAGACAATCACCTCAGTGCTGGTAGATACTAAAGCAACTTTTTAGAGACTGGTGACAACTTCTCCTACATAAAAATTACAAATTTAATCCATTTTGAATGGAGCTCCATTCATGCAACCCTAATCCATTTTCATTTTATATTCATAAGGATGTTCTTCTTGTTCTTCATCAATATCCAATGGCACTCTACTAACAAAAATATTTTCAAATTTATCTCCAGCAATAACAGTATGATAATCTAAAACAGTGCTGGCAGTCACATATCTTGGAAGTATGTCATCTGCCAATTCCATAAATGTTTAATCTTTGATATTATATCGAAGGAGATGAATTGAATCAGCTGCTTCAGCTACATAGATTTTATCTTCCTTCACCATAATTGAAGTGATAAATGAATTCAAATTTTTAATTTCTGCTTTCTTCAAGATTCTTTGATTTCCCATTTCATAAACTCTTAGATTACATCCAGCTCCAACTAATAATCTTCCTCTCCAATTAGCTAATGCATATGGAATTTCATCTATTGGAGTAGAATGTTTTAATTTGAGACTTTTGTTATCATAGATAAATGTATGTATAAATCCTTAACTAAATTTCCTCGATGGCTCATTTACTAAATCTTTCACTGTGCCAACACAAATGTATTACTCTGGATATCCAGCAAATTATATATAACATATTGAACATGCATGTTAATTTTCGAAAAATTAATGAACGTTTATTGTTTCTAATTTAGTAGCATCTACTATTCTAATTAATGATGCCCATTTGTATTGTTCTGCTTAAATTTAATTCCATTATTCTGGCAAATCTTAACTCTAATATACTTCCTCAACCTTTTGTTAAATATTGTTATAGGATCGATTGTCTGATTCAATTATGAATATTGCCTTACTAGCTTCATGAAATATCATTTTTCTTGGTGAGTAAGTCAATTCTAAAGACTACTAATTAAATATTTCACCAAATCTCTCTGGCATGATTATTCGTAAAGTACTTTAATTAGTACCAACAATACCTTAAAATTCCTTAGCAAGAAATGCTGAAGCATAATCCAATTAATCATAAGATAATGGTTACATGAATATTCGACCACTATTGTTATAACACAACCATGATCTAGACGATAATGCCAACATAGCCTATTATTAATTTGCAGTTATCCTTAGACACTTCACAGCCTTCGTTCCTAAGTATCTTGTTCTCGTGTCTGACAATCCTCCTGACTATTGATCTATTGAAGTTCTCATTAACAGCCCATTATTTAACCCTATAAATAAAAATAACTATTTTGTAAAACTTTATTGACCTTCTTACTCTGAAGCCATCTCCATCATACATAAACTTTCAGCTTCACTTGGCAAAGCTTACATCGCTCCTCGTTCAAAGCAAGATTCAGGTTCTAAACTTAACAATCTTATTGTTTAATCACTTAATGCTACACATAAAAATTTGCATCTTTATCTTCCCTCTTCAATAGGGCCTAATTCTAAAGCTTTTATTTCATTATCCATTTAATCTTTTGTTATTTCTATCAAGTTTCCTGAAAAACTTGTAGTATCCAATTCAAAATAGTAAACATCGCCTCCTGCTAAAGCAAATGCTACTTATTTTTCATTTGAGACTCCTCTAATGACTTTACCTTCCACAATATAATCTGTAGGTGGTTTATTCTTTCTTATGTGTCGGTATCCATTAGTTAAAATTTGAATTTACGAATCATCAATTAATGTTCCAACATGAATAGTTTGCTTAGTTCCTTCCAATCCTGTATCATGAACTTGTTCAACTTTTTCACCAATTTTTAAAACTAAAGTTTTATTGATATATGAAATCACAATATATTTATGAACTGGATCTTCATACCTCTCTTTTAATGTCCAAATTCCTAAAGGTTTTGCTTACAAATTAGTATTAGCCAATTATGTAATTTCTAAACCATGTCTTAAAACTCTCAAGGTTGATCTATTACCTGCAGCACAACATATATATATTTAAGGATTTCCTTCTTTTCCCAAATCAGCCACTTTTAAATCACTTATACAACTAAAATTATTAAGCTCCTATAAAAGTGTCAAATGCTTAAGTTTTTAGGGCTTAAAGAATATTTGTTCTTCCAAAGTCATTCTAGAATCTGTGCAGATTATGTTATTGTTTATTTCCTCCCTTTAATATTTGTAGAAACAATGATTTCCTTTTTCACAAGCTACAAATAAATGCTTGCTTCTCATCAAGCATAAACTGTTAGCTACAGGAATAGTATCAAAATAGATCATTTTTATAGAGTGAACTTCATCTTTTGTAAACTGTAATGATAATTCAAACAAATCTCCATATTCTGATTACAATAAATATAAAAATGATGACTAAGTCATATATACATTTAAATACTTTTTATTTATAAATTCCATATGAATTTATCATAGCACCTCTGTCTGTAGGCATTCCCTAATTTTTAGGATATGGCACCTTTATTTCTTAGTTCTTTGGACCTCTATAATGCAAAAAATCTTCACACAACACAATTACACCTCCTGGACCATCTGGTGCATTAGGTACCATTAATAATAAATGAGATGAAATA